CGGGGCGTCTGGGGTGCCGCGGCGGGATGATGCCCAGCAGCGATGTAGGTTGCCGCGGGCGTCTCGCGGGCTTGGTACCTTCCTCCGGATCGCAGTGGTGCGATGGCGCGCGACAGGGGCGCCCGCGTCCGCGAGGCGGGCAATCGCCGCGGCATCGGCGAATTTTCGGGCCGCCCCCCGCCTGTCGACGGCGGCCCCGGCGTCGTGCAGCCGGCGCCCATAGATGCGCGTCGCCCACGCGTGGCGTTGATTGTTCGCGACGCCACCGCCAGTGCAAGCGTCCCGTTGCCAGCTTCTGCGTGTTGTTTTTACGTTTGGCGCGAGTGGCGGCGTTGCGGGTTCGCGGCTAGCTTCCACTTGCGCTTGTCAGCGCGAAGCGGTCTTCGCGCGGAGGGTGCCGCGCAGCTGGCCGAAGGGTCGGGCGGCCCTTCGAGCGGGGAAAGATGCATCAACGTGGTCTGCATGCTGGTCAGAGGTGGCTGAACATGCCTGCGCGTTGCGCGACGGGGGCCAGGCCGGCGCTGGCCGGAAGAGACTTTGCGAGCCCGCAGGAGGGCGTGGCATGGCGTTCGGGGTGCAGGTGTTCTACCCACCGACGGGCAAGAGGGGGGCTGGGGGCATCTTCCTGGGCATGGCGAGCAGGGCCGACGGGGTCCGCGGGGGCGATCGCCGGAGTCATGAGGGCGAGATCGCTCAGGGGGGGAGAGAGTCTATCTCGTCGCGGGGCGACGCGGCCCTGTCTGGGCAGCTGAAGCTTCGCCTTGGGAGTCCTTGCCGATGGGGTTCGCCGACGAAGGGCGGGCGTGTCGAGCTGGCGCGAAGATCGCTGCGGACGCGGCGGTCTCGTATGCATGTCTACCGCGCAGCTGAGGAGGGCTTATATCCGCCGGGAGGTCGAGGTGCAGATGCGCGACCTCGCCGTGGGCTGCCAGGGCCGCTTGAGCAGTGTGCTCTGGCGTCTGCAGGGCGAAGATGGGGATGGCCATGGAGAACTGCGCGTTGATCGGAGAGCTGGGAGGTATTGAGCTCGCGCTGGAGGGCGGGGGTCAGCGGCCGTGCTGGGCGCGAGTCCGAAGAAGGAGGCCCTTTGGGAGAACCCTCGAGAGCCGCGGGCGACCTCGCGGGCGAGGTCGCGCGAGCGGAGGCCGCGGGCGGCGGGAGTTCGTCGTCAGTTTCCAGGGCGGGGAGGCCCAGTGAAGGAGGTGGGCGAGGTAGCGGCGATTCGATGCAGTTGTTCGGGATGGCCACGGAGATCAGCACTTTGCTGAACCAGCCCGGGGGCTTCAGGGGCAAGTTGGGGGGCGCTGGCAGCGACGTCGCCGAAGTGGTCGACCCGGGGGGGTTCAGCCGGCTGGCGGTAGTCTTCGACTTGCGGCTAGGGGCTGCGATGGATCTAGGGACAGGCTGGCGCGTCGCGGAGGCGGAGGGCCGCGACGGGGCCCGCGGTAGAGTGGGGCCCGGCGGGCTAGCTTCCATTCTGCGTTCGACGGACTGCGGCCCGTTCAGCCGGCTGTCGGCCATGAGCGAGCGCGAGGATGGCCATGCGTGCCCGATTGTGCTCGCTGAGGTCCAGGTGCTCCTGCGCTTCGCGATGGGGCTCTTCGCGCTGCTGATTAAGGCGGGGCGCCGCTGCCTGTGTGGTCGCACTTGGGGGGTCCTGTCTTGGAACGAGGCGGCAGCGCAGCGCGTGCCTGCGTTGGAAGGAGTTGATGTGGTTCAGGGGTGGCAGCGTGGTTCCCGGGTGGCGAAGTGCGCGGGCGTCTCGATTGGGCCTGCGGCGCAACCGACGAGCTGGGCGACGGTCGGCGGAAACGCGGCCTGGAGAGTCGGAGTTGCCTGTGCTGGAGGGCGGCGCGCGCGCGTGGAGCGGCCGTGGTAGCGGGGCCGAGGCCGCCGAGGTGCCCGTCGGAGCTTGCGACGGAGGTCCCGGGGGGCATTGGAGGCGGCCCCCGCGTGGGCAGGTGTCTAAACTTGATTCCGATCGGCGCGGCGGTGGGGGGGCTGGCGGCGCCGGGCCGGCGAGAGCCCGCTGGCGGACGGCTCGGTGGAAGCGAACAATGGCAATTTAGACGGGCCGGGGATCTGGCGCCAGCTTGTCGCCGAGGAGATGAAGAGTCTATCCTCCCTGGGGTTGGACGACGCTGCCATTATTTTATGGCGACCCATCGACTGGAAGGTCTCGGGTTGTCCTGCAGCGTGGCGAGTGTCAGTCGATCGATCGCGCCGCGGATGTTCCTTGGCATCAGCTGGGCGCGCCTGCGCCCGGAGCTGAGTTGGTAGGTGCTCTTGGCTTGGCTGCGCCGCTGGAGGATCTGGCGCGCGAGCCAGGTCGTGCCGTCTGCTCAGGTAAGCGATGTGCAGGCTCGAGGGCGCCAAGGCAGCGTTCGACGTGGAGGTGGGGCGGGTCGTGGAAGAGCTCGGAGCTGCGCGAGCGAGCTCAGCCCCTGCGTCTGCCGGAGGGCCGGCTGGGCACCCTTGTCGCGCGGCGCCGCGGCGGTGATCCGCGCGCGCAGGGGGGCCGCGGGGGGTTTGAGGGTCCGCGGGGGAGCTGGGCGAGAGGTCGATCGCGGGGTGGCGGGGGGTGCCGGCGCCCGAGCCGTGGAGCGGGGGCCTCGACGAGATCGCGGTGCTCAATCGGGTCGCCAGGTGGCGCGGGGTCGACGGGGTCCAGTCGGGGCGGGTCGGGCGCGAGCCAGGCCCCAGGCGCGTGGAGATCGGCCTTCGCTAGCTCGTTCTTCGAGGCAGCGGGCCGAAGCCAGCCTCGACCTCAGGAGTTAAATGAGGGCTGGATCTTTTCGGCGGTGAATGGCAATGCAGGGCCGACCGACATTCAGTATATTAGCGCGGAGGCCGCCCGAGTGATGCTGGGCCCTACTGGAGGAGGATGGGCGGCGCTCAAACGTTTGGGGCGTTATCGGGTCTGGGTCTTCAGGCTGGTGGCCAACGCGTGTGAAGCAACCGCCGCCGCAGTGCTGATTGCCTGGGCCGACGGCGATTTCGCCAGGCGCACTGCCGCGCGCAAGTCGATATCCGGTGCTGCGATGGTCTTCGGGGGCCATTGGATGAGTTCGTCGAGTGCGATTCGGCAGTTGTAGGTGCTGAGTTTGGGCGAGAGTGAGCCCCGCGCACTTGCGAAAGGAGTTTCGACGGGCTTAGACTTCGACGGCGTCGTGGGTGGGCGGGTGGTTTCGTGTTGTGAGGTTACGGCCAGAAGGGGTATGGCGGAGTTGTCTTCCGCTGCGGCTCCAGAGGGTCGCGCGGGAGGGGCGACTGCAAGTTCGCGAAGCCGATCGCAAAACACACGCGGCGGACATTGGAACAAAACCCGTCGAGGCCATCTTGCTCGCGAGGTTTCTAGAGGCCCTGGGGCCCGAGGCTCGCGGGGGCCAGAGCCGTCTTGCAACTGCGACGTCGTGGAGACGATGGTCGGCGAGGGGGGGCTCGGAGTGTCCATGAGGGTTGCACCTTTTTTATGCTTTCGTTTTCTCTCGCGCAGCATAGCGCTGCGCTTCGTTTCGGGCGCCAGCGAGAGTGCCCGGGCGGCCGGGGGGTTGCCGTGTACTTTCAGGTGCCCGGGGCCACAGCGGCTGGTCAGAGGCAGGCGGGCTGCTTGAATGTGCAACCCCTGCGGGCGTTGTCGCTCAAGCTGCGGTCCAGGCCAATGATGAGAAAGTCATTCTGGGAAGGGAAGGGGCGACCAGGCTCAACTGATTTGTGGTCAGTCGGGTTTGGAGAGGGTTTTGCTTCTTGGGGCGGCCGTGGGAGGCTCCGTGGCCACTTCGGATCGTCGTGTGGCACGCCTGGAGCTTCTGGGAGGCATTTTGCTGGACGTCTGGAGCCATCCTGGACTACCTTGGCGTGGAGGTCGACGCGTGTGTTTTCAGAGCTCCGTGGCCCTCCGCGACGTTACAGGCACGGCGCGCGGGCCTCCCACAGAGGGGGGCGCCGGGGAGTTAGAACGAGCCCGTTGGCGACATTTTTCTTGGGCCTCTCGGGCATCATGGCCGTTTTGGGGGGGGGCAGCCGCGTGCCTGTTCACAGTGCCGTGATCAGCGCACTGCCGCAGGCACTGCCTTTCTGAGGCCTTCCAGGAGGGTGCCGCCGGGGGATGCGTGGCGGGCTCGTTCGCGCTCGGAGCCTCGGAGCCTCTCACGGAGAGTTTTTTGCTGTTGTGGTGGACGCGTCTTTCGGATCCCAGCGATCTTCGCGATGTAGCAGATTGCGCTTGGGCCTCCCAAGGGGGAGCCGCTTGGGGTCCATTAATTATGAGTCTGCCCGTGCCCAAATGGTCAGGAGGTTTGGCCGCTTGTGAGGTATCACCGTCTCTTGCATCGCCCCATGATGGTCGCGATGTAGAACTGGGGGATGGCCCCGTGGCGTTCCAGGAAGCCCCAAACTTCAGGAACCCCCAGGGGGCCCGTGTAAATCCCAAGAGGCTCCAGGACCCCCCAGGACCAAGTCCGCTTTTTTATTTGACGCGCTCGTACGAACTCACACAAACCCAAACTCACTTGCAGTCCGACCCGCTTGTACCCAGGCACTCGTGCTCCTACGCCATCGCACCCATACGCAATTATACCCTGGCCCACCCATTAGTGTCACCCTTTCTCAGCCGCTCAAGCTCAGATCCGAACACAATCATATTCGCTCGCACTCAGACTCCAATCGCACATATACCCACTCATACTCCGACTCGTTCATGCTCAGAGTCATTCGTATTTAGCCCTCATCCGCTCGTGTTCAGACTCGCCCGCATTCGAACTCATCTGATTCATACAGTAGGACATGAACCGGGTGTATGGGGATTTCCGCATCGGGTATTTTTGTTGCGCCTCCATTTTGGGCCTTCCTCCCCGATCCCCGATTTCAGCGTGCTCTTGTATCTGTCTTGGGGGTCTAAGTTCCTTGAGCCTCCTCGGGGAGGGGGGAGGGGCAGCGCCGCGCGTGGGCGGAGGGGGGATGGGCTGGCTCGGAGAAGACCGCCGCGCGCCCCCCAGGAGTTCTGCTACATGAACCGTTCGGGCTGGCGCCCTAGAGCTCCAGGCTCCGAGGGCTTGGTTGTGGAGGTCGGTGTCGTCGTCGTCGTCGGCGTCAGCGGCGTCGTTGTCGGCCTCGTCGTCTCTCTTTTTCTGTTCCAAGGGGGGGGGTCTGTGCTTTCTGAGATGTCGTCGACGGTTTTCGTGTGGATTCGGTCGTGCTGCCGAGGGCCTTGCATTGACGTTCAATGTTTTCCATTGTTATTTGGGTCCGTACCTTGCATCTTCAAGTTTAATTTCGAATCTTGATGGGTTAGGTTCGGACGGCAGGTTCATGCCAACGTGTGCCACCCGGTGTGATCAGACTCTATCCCTAATGCTGATCATTCTTCTTGTAGTCCTATTTTTCGGTGATAGAGTACCACGGTTCCTCACTTTCGACAGTTGGGCCAGCTATGTCCAGCTGCCGGCACGTGAACCCGTGATAGGGGGTCCACATGACAGGTCATAGCTCGGCGGGGGAATGGGTCTGGGGCGGAGGTGGCTGCGCGAGATGGAACGGACCAGGGGAGTCGAGGGGTAGGTGGGTGGCAGGGCGGTGGGAGGATTGGGATGGGCAGTTGAGCCCAGGTCGTCTCGGGGGCGGGCGGCGCTGTGGCGTAACAGTAAAACTGTCCGAGGATAGGTTACGGCACAGATTTATAGTCAAGCGTGCAGTGCAGTGCACTGCAGTGCAATGCAGTTCAATGCGATGCAATGTACTGTAATGAAAGGCAGTGCTATGCATAGCAATCCGATATAGCGTACAGAGGGAGCCCATGGCAAGAAGTCATGCGTTTTTTCCAGAGTGCCTTGGGTTTCTGTGGTTTGTCTTTGCATTCCAGGCTTGCAGCGGTCGCGAAGAGACCGTATTTTGCGGGATATCCTGTTTAACTTAGTGTGGCCACGATTTGCGCGAGCCATCAATATAACGCCTGGCTCTGGGTACCCTGAGTTTCTTCGCTGGCAGCCGCTGAGCGAGAAACCCAAACTTGGCCCAAGGAGCTTCAGCGAGTTTCAGGGTTGTGTTTCTTTCGATGGGTTTCTTGTCGACTGGTCTTGACTTGCATGTGCATGCATGTGTAATGTACGTACGTGCACGAGTGACACGGCTGTACGTATGCGTGTACGCACGCGGGGTCTGTCCACTGCGCTTCGTGGCACCAAGTCTGGAGCAAAACAGCGACGGGGACCCCTGTGGGTATTTGTGTACAAAGCATGGCTGCCGGCAGGGACCCCAAGCACAGTGGGCTCTGGTACTCTCGATGTGCCATCGGAGACGCCTCGGGCGAATCACCACCGCGCCCTGCCTTTGGAAGCCCTTGTGTGATGAAATGTGCAGCAGGGGTGCGGCCATGCTGGTGGTCTGGATGTTACCCCAGCTCTTGGGGGCACCACTGGGGGAACCCTGGGGCGGGGCCATCGCTGTCATCCTGCGAGGAGGAGGAGGAGGAGGAGGAGGAGGAGGAGGAGGAGGAGGAGGAGGAGGAGGAGGAGGAGGAGGAGGGGGAGGGGGAGGGGGAGGGGAGGAGGAGGAGGAGGAGGGAGGAGGAGGAGGAGGAGGAGGAGGAGGAGGAGGAGGAGGAGGAGGAGGAGGAGGAGGAGGAGGAGGAGGAGGAGGAGGAGGAGGAGGAGGAGGAGGAGGAGGAGGAGGAGGAGGCGGAGGAGAGGAGGCGGCGGAGGAGGAGGATGAGGAGGAGGAGGAGGAGGAGGAGGAGGAGGAGGAGGAGGAGGAGGAGGAGGAGGAGGGGGGCTCTTTCGGGCCGTCTGGGCCTTCCTGGGGGCCTCTTGGGGCTCTCTTGGGCCGCCCCGTTGCCTTCGTGGGGCGTCCTCGGATGCTCTCGGGCTGCCTCGCACCTTTGGAGACCGTCCCGTGGGCTCCTCTCGACCGTCTTGGGGACCCTTTGGGGCTCTGTAGCGTCATCCTGCGGTTGTCTTGGGCCGTCTTCTTGGGCTCTTTAGGCCGTCGTGGGGTTATCTCGGGCCGTCTTGGGGCTCTCTTGAGGGCCTCTTGGGCCGTGTTGGGGCGATCGAAAAGGGGGCCGCTTGGATGATGTTCAACAGGTTTGTTTTTCTACTTTTAGCGTTATCGCCTTTCCGGGCCCCAAGAAGGGGCCCGGGGGGGTCTTAGGGGAACTGTGCTTGGGGGGGAAAGCTCTCAACATGTTTCCAGTAGACCCCGAGAGTCTTCCAGTAGGCCCTGAGGAACCCGCCAAGAGGCTTCCGAAAAGACGCCGCGAGGCATCGCAAGGGGCCCCGAGATGCAGCACAGCACGCCCCCGCAGCCATTTTCGCTCAAGCTTGTTCGACTCGAGCCGCTTCTCGGCGCAGGGCAGCCGCCCTCTTCGCGCCCCGACCCCCCCGTCCGCCGGCGGCGGCCGCTCCTCGGCGCCCCGCCATGGGCTGCGAGAGCAGCAAGAGCTGCTCGACCGTCACCAGGGAGTACACCCCGGAGAAGGTGTACAGTCCCATGAAGATCCGCGTCAGCCCCGAGTCCGAGTCTCCCGCGGAGATGCCCGCGGGCTGGCCGGCTCCACAGCCCAAGGGGCAGGAGGAGGTCAGCGGCGCCCGCGAGGCAGACCGGGGGGTGGCGGATTTCTGAGAGCAGGCAGCTCGAGCTGAGCGAGCGCGGGTTGCCTGAGATGGGAGGAGGCTGCTGCTCTGAATGTAGATCGGCGGGTCTTAGCGCACAACAGACAACCAACAATTTCCGCGATTGATTTTGGCTGGCGATCGGGAGCAGTGCCGAGGCATCTTCGGCGTAGCAATTCGGACCTCGTATGTGCGTGCCCGGGGCCAGACAACAAGCAATTGGCATGAACATGCACTTCATGAGGAGGTCCGCGTGCGGTCTTTACTAGTGGCTCTTTATGACCAGGTCTTCCGTTTTTGATGTGTAGCGATAGGTGGAGTGGAGCTCCACGCATCACCAGTTTCGGTTCTAGCAGATATGATCCGTGAGGGCAGGCCCAGTATAGCTGGAGTGACACGAACTCTTGATCCAGCATCGACCAGGCGAAATGTGTGTTGAGTGGAGTTCTGTCGACCACATCCAGGTCCCGACGACCATAATTAGTTTACCTGGTGCAGGGCAGCTGTGCGAATGCGTTTTGCATAAGGGTCCAATTCCCGACTGGCGTTTCCGCGCGTCATAGCTAAGTGTTTCGGAAGCGCTCCACAGATTCAGCCCCAGGGGGTCAAACAGAAATTCTGCAATGTACGTGTGCTAACATGAGTATCTCGATCTGTTTGAGCGTCTGGATCAGGGTAGGGGCGTAGCCGTTCTGAGTGGAGCTCAGTCGATCAGACCCAGTGAGCTGCAAAACTGCGAAGCCTGAGACATGCGAGTACGCACGGCTGTCGAAGGCGGCTTATCGAGGCGTTTTGCGCCAGCTTCGGGTCCGCGCTTTCGAGGGCATTTCGCTTGGCAAGGTGCTTCAGAGGCTCCACATACTTCAACCCCAAGAATTCTAGCACAAATGCTGCAAGCTGCGTAGGCTTCTACAGACCTGAGTATGTCGGAGCCTCTGGGTTAGAGTGGGGGGCGTAATCGTTCTGAGTGGAGGTCAGGCGACCAAACCCACAGCCTTGCAAACTGCCTAAGCCTCGCAAGCTTCCTAAGCCTGATACAGTTTTTCGTCGGCGGCGAAGGCGGACGCCAACGCGGTCGATCAGCCGGCGGGCAGCCCCTAAGTTTTGATGCATGCAGGTTGCGAATGTGCATGGCCTCCAGAGGCGGCTCGTGAGGGCGCCTTCCCGTATTGGTTTCTCCCCTCGCCTCACCTACGGCAATAGCTAGCCTATCCTAGGATATTTAATCGCTTCGCTCATTCCGCCGGCCCATATTGTCGCACCGTTGTGGGCTAGCCGAGTTTTGGGGGCCGTTTTGGGGCCTCTTGGGGCCTCTTTTGGGCCTCTTGGGCGCCTCTTGGGGCGTCTTGGGGGCCTCTTGGGGGCCTCTTGGGGCCTTTTTGGGGCCTCCTGGGCGCCTTCTGGGGCGGAGGGCTCGATTTTTCAGTTCTCGGTTCCCCTCTTGAGCCCCTCTTGGGCCCGTCTTGGGGCCTCTTGGTCCGTCTTGGGCGGCACTTGGGCCGTCTTGGGGGCCCTCCTGGGCCGTTCCGGGGCCGTCTTGGGAGCCTCGTGGGCCGTCTTGGAGCGGTCTTGGGGGCCTCTTGGGCCGTCTTGGAGCGTCCGGAAGCCGAAAAAGCCAGAACACAAAAAACATCGAAAAAACCAATGAAAATCAACGATTTTGGCCTCTTGGGGCTCTCTTCGGAGGCCTCTTGGAAGGCTCTTGGGGCGTCTTGGAGGCCTCTTGGGCTGTCTTGGGGGCCTTTTGGGCCGTCTTGGGGTCATCTTCGGCGTCTTCGAGCGCTCTTTGGGCGTCTCGGGGGCCTCTTGGGCAGTCTTGGGGGCCTCTTGGGGCACTCTGAGCGCGCTCTGGGGAGCCTGAGAGGCCGCACCCAGAAGGAAAACCATCTCTGAGTAGACTTGGTCGGGCGGTGGTCGGGCGGCGGTCGGGCGGCGGGCGGCGGTCGGGCGTTGGTCGGGGTACTTTTCGCCGGGGGACCCCCAGGGGCCGCCCCGCGCGCGCGAACTAGAAATACTGTTAATACTGTTAACCAGTTACCGGAGATCTTAGCACGCCCTGGCCCGTTGGGCCGGCGAATTATATCATCGCTTGCCTGACCATATTCTGGCCTAGAATACCCTATTGTACTTTACCATGCCCACCGTCCGCTCTTCCTCTTCTGCTTCGATTTAACTCATACGGGAGGCGACCCTCACAGCAATCCACACATGCATCGCCCGCGCGTCGGCGCTGGGTCAGTTTTACAAGCTCTGATGTTTCGAACGCCTTTATCAAATAGCATTGCAGTGAACAGCAAAAACCGATGCATCCAACACGCCTCTGACCGGCAGCCTCGGCACGGGCACGGCGGCGGAATGGGCCGAAGGAGGAAGAGATCCGCCGCCCCTCTGTGGTCTTGCCACAGGGGTGCCCGGCGTGCTAGATCCTGCTGGTTTTCGGGAGCCTTGAGACGGGGGTCAATGCAAACGGGAATCAGCAAGACCTCCCAATCTTGCAGGGTCCTGCAGGGCCAGGGTCGCATTGACCCGGGTTTGAGTGCAGGATCCTGCAGGATCTTGCAGGACCCTTCGCATTGACCCGGGTTTGGGTGCAGGGTTTTGCAGGATCTTGCAAGAGCTGACTGACCCGGATCTGGATTGACCCGGGTCAGAAGATCCCCGAGGTTTAGTTTTGTTTTTTTTCCAAAAGCACTCCCCCTGGGGCTTCGGCCCGTCCCGCCGGCCACCCGGAAGGGACCGGAAACGGCCAGAACAAAATCCCACAGACGGCCCAAGATGGCCTCCAAGAGGCCCAAGATGGCCCAAATGGCCTCCAACTTCGCCCAATATGGTCGTCCAAGATGGCCTCCACGTCCAAGATGCTTCCAAGTCCGCCCAAGAAGCTCCAGGATGGCCCAAGATGGCCGCAAGATGGCCTCCGTAGCCATTTGGGCTCAAGGGCACCTTGCCCGCACCTGCTTCATCGTGGAGGTATCTCCTGCTTGGGGCACCAGCCAGAGACCTCAGCTTTTGATTTCCCGGCGATGTGGGCTTCTTTGATTGTTGTAGCAAATTTTGCAAGCAAATCCCAATCGTGGGGCTTGCTTTCACCGTTTCGCCTCCGTCATATGACGACCTCGAGAAGATGTTGCAGGTCTATGCTCTGTTGACAGGCTTGGTATTGTCGATGGTCGGGGGTTGCATCTTCGAGGACATCGACATCCTCCGCAGGGCTACCGACATCTATGGCGCCCTTTTTGGATCGCTTGAGCTGCTATTCCTGGTGCGTGCCATCATCGTCTGCCTTTACATATAATTAATGATGTTCGGTACGCAGGAAGATAAACCTCTCGCCGCAGAGCAGGTTCGCAGTTGGTGGGTGAACGGTGGGAGGTGGATCTTCGTTGGACTGCCGATGCTCGTGCTGTACTCTTGCTGGCAGTTCCTGATGGCTGTCACGCTGTATTTCGAGAGCAAGTCTGACTATATGGGTGTCGGTCCGTTCGATCATGGGTGCATGAAGAGTTGGTTGACGCTCCCCATAGTTTCACTCGTGGCATTCATTACCATATACGTGAGTTTCCTCTCAGCGGGATGGAGTGAGGAAGCTTACGGGCTCATACCAGAGGACAGCTCGTCCTCCGGTTCGGGTTCAATCATGTGTCGTTGTTATTCAAGATGACGATACAAGCTTCCGACGTTGGTCGGTCTTAGGATGATGTTTGAGCGCGGGGGGGAGACCAGCATTATGTCTGCTGTGCGCGCATGGCTTTCTCGCGAGCCTAGTCCTCCGCCGCAGCGATGTTCTAGAGCTGTACACTCTCACTTTGTCACCTCGCTGGCCGATAGCCGCCAGATCAGGGCGATCCCACTCCCAGTCCAGCACCGCACTTGACACCTCAGCGCGGGCTTCGAAGCCGTGGCCTCGGCTCTCCTCGGCAGGCAGTGTTACCGCGAGAGGGGGGCGTGCCAGTAGTGTCGGATCGGATCGGGGTCAAACAACTTGATGATGATGATGATGAGGAGGAGGAGGAGGAGGAGGCGGAAGGCGACGCACAAACGCTCGGACGAGCACAAGCTTCGGGGGTCGCGTGGGAGGCCCTCGTGCATGAGTGCAAGCTCCCTTCGGCCAGCGCCTTGGCTGTTTTTGTTGGCAACCTCAGAGGTGCCATAACTTTGCTCATGAGATGTGCCCCACGTGATGCTTGGATCAGTCTAGAGCCAGTGTTCTAATCCCACCAGCCCTTTGGGCGCAGATGGTCTAACGATGTCTTCCTTTCCTCTTTCAAATCCCCTTTTCCCCTTCGGGGTGGGTTTTACCCATCCCCCATACCCACTCCCCTGGTCCTGGACGGGGGGTTCCGCGAGAGGTTGGAGCGCCCAAGATGGCCCAAGATGGCTCCAAGAGGGCCTCCGATGCTCCAAGATGGCCTCCAATATTGCGCAAGATAGCCCAACATGGCTCAATTTGGCTAACAATATGCCTCCAAGAGGCCCCAAGAGGGCCACAAAACATATCCAAGTGCTTTTGGAGAGCCGTCAGGACCCCCCCCCGAGAAGCCGGAATCCTTCAAACACCTACGGAAAATCAATGATTTTGGCTTCTCGCCTTTTCGCTTCAGATGCGTTTTTGAGGCCTCAAGATGGCCCCAAGAAGGCCCAAGAGAGCTCCAAGAGGGGCCCAAGAGGCCCCCAAGACGGCCCCAAGACCGCCCAAGATCGCCCCAAGAGGGGCCCAAGAGCGCCCCAATAGGCCATTTTGATGGCTCTTAGGGTGGGAGCTAGATGCCCCCCTTTTGATCGATGGCCTACAAGATGGGCCCAAGAGGCTCTCCAGGACTCCCAAGAGGGCTCCAAGAGAGCCCCAAGAGGGTCCAAGAAGCGCCCCAAGGGGCGCCGAGACGCCCCGAAAAAGCCCCAAGAGGACCCCACGACCCCTCAAAGAGCCTGAAGAGAGCCCTTCGACCCCAGGACCCCCCAAACAGCTATTCCTCCTCCTCCTCTTCCTTCTCCTCCTCCTCTTCCTTCTCCTCCTCCTCTTCCTTCTCCTCCTCCTCCTCCTCCTCCTCCTCCTCCTCCTCCTCCTCCTCCTCCTCCTCCTCCTCTCCCTCCCCCTCGTCATCTTCCTCCCGTCGCCCCCACAGGGGCTCCAGAGATGCCCGAAGGGGCCCTCTAGTGCCACCGCCTTGTTCCCAGAGGTCTCTCAGATTACCCTCTGGTTGCCCGCTGCCCAAAACTCCCAGAGAGCACCAGCAGCAGCAGCAGCCGCAATAATACCTCTAGATGGTTCGATGAGTCCGCGTCCGCGTCGTCCTCATCCTAGTCCTCGTCCTTTTCGTCCTCGTCCCATTCCGCGTCCTCGTCCCCCTCCTCCTCGTCCTCCTCCTCGTCCTCCTCCTCCTCTTCCCCTCGCCCCCACGCGGCCCCCAGGGATGGCCCAAAGAGGCCTTCCAAGGCCCCCCCCTTGCTCCCAAAGATCTCTCGGTTCACCCTGCTTGCTCGCTTTGTCTCCCTCGATGTGTCTCTTCGTCCCTTTTCCCGTCAGCTCTCATGGGCAGGGCTTCTGAATGGGCTGGTGGGGATGATTTTTGGATCGCGAGCGCAAGCGGAAAGGCCGCGCGCCGCCCAGAGCTACCGCTAACCAGCAGGAGCCTTAATTGCACACGAGAGAGAGAGGAGAAGAGAGGGACAACAGGAGAGCAGCGGGAGGTGAGACAAGCCGGGGCGGGCCGCGCGGCGCTCAAGGAGGGGGTGCCATCGGCAGCTGCAGCCGCCGGGAGTGCACGGCAAAGTGGCGGGTAATTGGCTGGCAGAGTCGTGTCCCGTGACCGCGGCGAGGGGCAACCCCGCGGGAGATAGCGGGCCGCAAGCACCAGCGCCTGTACGGGGGGGCAGCACGCGGGGGGCAGAGCGCGGCAAGGGCTATGCGTCCCTGCAAGGGGATCGAGCCTTCAGGTGCGTCGAAGCCGATGGGGTGGCGGCGGAACGAGTGAGTGGCGACGACCGAACAGCAGTGCGCGCCGTGGGACAGGCACGCCGTAAGCAGACTGAGAAGGCAGTCAGCCGCGCGTCGACACCAGTGAATAAGCCAGCTGGCATGCAGGCGCTCGACGGACGGGAGTCCGGATCGCCGGGACCGGCAGGACGACTGAGGTGCCGGATCCCTCTCGGGGAGCAGAAGGGCCCGCTACCAGCGCGGCAGGGGGCGAACCGAAAGGCCGGCGGACCCCAGGCGAGCGTCGGAAGGCCGCCGCAAGCCGAGAGCCGCGGTGGGCAGATGGGCCGTGGCGGCGAGAGGGCCGCAGAGAGCGGGCAGGCGACTAGTAGTGACGGCCCGCGCCCGCAGTGCGGCGGGAGGAGCCCAGGCGGCGCCTTTGTGCGGAGCAGAGGCCGCTGGGCGGGGGCGCGCCGTGGCGAAGGGGGCCACGGCAGCGAAACGGCTCCGACGCGCCTCGTGCCCCGGAGCCAGAGGCGGGGGCAGAGGCGTCGAATGGGGCCCCATGCGGCCCACGCGGGGCGTGGGGTAGGGAGGGTGGCTCGGCGCCAGGGGGCGGGGAGCCAGAAGCTAGACTGGCGGCGAGGACCGCTCCGGTGGGCAAGGAAGCAGCGGGGCCAGGCGCGAGCCGTGCAGAGTCTCGGGGGTCCCCAAACGGTGTGATGACCACACCGTGCGGTGAGTCGGTGGGGATTCGGGGTCAGCGCACGGTGGCTCTGGGGGGGGGGGGCGCCTGCCTCCCGCAGCGGCTGCCGCCAGGACCGCTCGCGAGGCCACGTATTCTTCGGCCTGTCGTACTGAGCGCCGGGGCGGAGCGACTTGGTGAAAGGACGGGTGCGAGCACCCCCGTGCACGAGACGAACACTGGGCGGTCCTCTGTCAGGAGGGGAAAGAACACACACGCACAATTGATCGTCGATTCCCCAGAAAATATGGGAAGTGGGGGGAAGACAAAAACCCAGAAAATGTAGGAACATAGGGGGAATCACTTTATTTGTGCGTATTTATTTGTGTGTTGGTGGGCCCCTTCACTCTGGGGTGGGGGAAGAGGCGCCGCCAGGACTGCAAGGGTGGCCCCCACGTGCGGACGGCCCACGAGGGCCCCCAAGACGCCGCCAAAAGGGTTCCAGGAGGACATCCACAGGAGGCCAGCATCACTCATGTGCCTTTTAGACTGTTCAATGCTTTCGGCCTTGCCGCCTTTTCGGGCTTCCAGCCTCCAAGCGGCCCCACAGGCCCCCAGCATCGCACCCAGGATGTCCAAGAGGCCTCGAGGAGGCCAGCAAGACTTTACCAAAAGGGCCTCAGGTGGGCCCCAGGACGATCCCAAGAGGCCGACCCGACGGCCCCACGACGGCCCCTTGACGGCCCCAAAGCGCCGAAAGAGAGACCAACGACCGCCCAAAAGGGGGCACCAAG